TATTTTGATGCCACCCACTCCGGCAAACAATACGGTCATTTACTTTCAAGTGATTCTCTATGAATGGGGATTTGGGTGAACTGATTGACTGAATCGTTTTTGAGAGTGATAAGTAAATTGAATGCTAGATGAATCCGATGAATCCAACTTGTATCCATTTAGAAACAAAGTCGTATAGTCGAAACTTCTTCCCAAAACTTCGCCAAAACTTCTAACAAAAGAATGAGACCAAAACTATTGAGTTTAGCACACAAAAAAAGACATAGTGACAAAAAGACGCGTTTTTTTTCAGATAGGAGAGTGTGAAATGGAAAGGGATGCGCTGATTCGATGCCGATTCTTCGGTTTTCCGGCTTTTTTTCCGGTCTCTCCTTTTCAAAAAAGAGGCGTTGATTGAGCCAATTCGGTCTCCTTCTTCTTTTTCCATTTTTAACATGATCGCCTTTTTTTTGAATCCAGTGACAAGTCTCTAAAATTTGGATCTACAAAGTATACCAAAAGCGTTAAAAGTTTAGGATTTTACGTTCAAAAGGAGATAAAGGAGATCTGGGAAAAGGAGATCTTACTTATCTTTGAGTTGTTCGCTCTTAAAAGACTCATAGATCATTCCCCCATTGCTAGAAAGGAAATGAGAAAATGTGTGGCTCAAATGTTATGGAAAAAAGAGAAAGAATGGCGTGAAATTCATAAACTTCAATAGTCGGAATAGGTGAACGGGAAAAGAGTGAGAAAGCGGACTACTATGTGCAAAAAGAGTAAAGGAAACCCCTTGAATCCCTTCCTTGCCAGTAGTGAAGGGAGAACCCATTGGCAGCGACTCATAATGACCTCCACCTATAGAAAAGAGACCACAGGGTGGCGGGGAGGGTACTAGAGAATTCGAGAGTTCACCCCTCCATTCTCCTTTCACCTACCAGACTCTTCATTCCCCATGGGACCCATTCTCTCCTCATTATCCCCTTCAACTTATAAGAGCTCCTCCTTTTGAGTCGTCCCGAAATTTTGAGTGGTTCTATCAGTGGAATAAACTTGAAAAATTAGTTGAAAACAAAAAATGCTAGCTGTTTTTGATAAATTAGGAGTTTGCTGAAGGAAAAACTAAAGTAAAAAAGCCAGCACAAGTTCAGAATCTGTTCTCAAGACTGTCAAGCTTTATCCTCGTATATTTTTATGATCTCTCAAGAGAGCCATAACCTAATTGGGTCCATCAGCTGTTCTTTTCCGGAATGTTTCCCAGCATGTCAAGTGTCAATTGAGTAGAAAAAGAGAAAGAGATTGAGGACCCATTTCCCGCATTCAAGCGAAATGAATGGAAATTCATCAATTATCCAGATAATCCTGCAAAGAACGAACAAAACAAATGCTTTGTTCTGTAATAGTTTCTTGAAAGAAAATGACTCTATTTGGGATGTTTATGGGTGAGAGTTGGTTCATTCACTGAAGGAGTGAACAGCTGGTTCATCTTGTTGGAAGGATTGAGACGATCCTCTTATACTTTTCTTTTCCTCTAATGGTTTTAAGATCAGTTCTTTTCTTGCTCAACGACAGAATAAACTAAAAACAGTTTAATTGAGAGCAAAGCGATTGGCTTTGTCTAAAAAGTTGTTGGCTTTGCCTTTGAATAAATAACAACTTTTTTATTTCTTTTAGTAGTTTTATACACAACATCTTTAGATTCAAAATTTATCTAACATCAAATTTATAACAACATCACAGTATGTACAATAAACAATCAAAAGAATCCAATCTTCAAACAGCATTCAATGCCGTGTGATGAGGCGTGTGTTTTCTAAAGAAAATTATCGGCTTCAGAAAGTTGCTTGTGACTTTACAAAGGCTTCGGAAAGTTGCTTGTGACTTTGCAAAGGCTTCAGCAAGTTGCTTGTGACTTTGCAAAGGCTTCAGAAAGTTGCTTGTGACTTTAAAAAGTCAATTGTTTTTTGAAAACGCTCACCTCCTAACTGGTTTATCTTCTGTACAGAATTTCCAATATAAAATAAACAATCCAACAACAATTGCTGTCATTATACCGATACATACCAGTAACAATAATACGGTGGTCGGTGTATCCATTTGAATTGTCTGAAAATGGAAATGATTTACAAGTCATTTGAAATTCAAACATTAAATAATAATAAAACTTTTAGAAGAAAATAGATGCAAAATTGGCAAAACACAGTGCTTTTTTGTTTAATTGGCCAAATTTTCTCGCCACAAAGTTAAGAAAAACTCCGAGAGCCGGGAAGTCAATAAACAATCGAATAAACATTTCAGGAAATCTTTGATTTGATAAAATTTGGCTAAAAATATTTGCTTGCCAACAAAACAGAGTGCTTTTTGTTTAGTTTGAGATCTTCTTAACCATTTCTTAACCAACAATCATACTTCTACTTCCCAACAAAATCGATCAACTGTATTGATGTCTACCAGAAGTCAAAAACATGAAAAGGATCAAAGGGAGGTTCACTTGTGGGAAAACAGCAGCCAGCAAAATGATCCTCTGGGACCATGCCATATCTGAAAGGAGTGAAGGGGCAAAAACTTTCGTGAAAAGGAAGGCTCGTCTTGAAAATATGCGTGAAAAAATGGCCCTCCCCGTCTTGGATGTCATTGAAATGAAAGAGAGAAAAGAAAAAAATTGAAGAAAAAGGGATTCAAAAACATTTGAAGAAAGGAAATGGGATCCATCTTCTATGATGGGGAGATCATTCCAGCGGAGATGTCGACAGCAGACTCAACATTTCAATGGTAATATGTGAAGGAGGTTTGAGAATAAAGGGAAATTGGAAATTGAACATACAACTTCTTGTTGATGGTTGACAAAGACAAAAAGGCGTTTGAATTAGATGCTAATCCACTTTTGGTCCATTTGGTGGAAAAGTCAAGTAGTTTAAAGAAAAATGAAAGTCGTGAGAAGATCACGTGAGAAGTTTTACTATGACTCATAACAAGATTTTTGAATTTAAGCACCACAAATTCTCTCTTTGCTCAACAAGTTCTTGAAGTAGACGTGTGACTTGTAGAAGAAAGTGAGAAGTAAATTATAGATGAGATTTCTGATAGAAAATAGATTTAATGAATAAAACAGTTGAAAAATCAATCCAGAAAATGCTTAGGCGTCTTTTTCTTGACTTTTCTTGAAAACATATCTTGACAAGAACAAAGACTCTTTTGATGAGAGCAATTTGATGGAGTTGTTGCCAAAGAAAATTGTAGTCAAGAAGCAATTTATCGTCAGGGAAGTAGTGCTAGATGTAAAGTCTTTATAGTCAAATGTTTGGTAGAATTTGAACTGCATCATTTCAATGAAAGAGATTCGATTTTCGAGACTCAAACTTTGATGCTTTGAAGGGAAAGAGTGAAATCTTGATCCTCTTCTTGTCCTTTCCCCTTTCCTTTTCCCCCTCAACCTCACTTCAAAACCAAAATTGCTTTCGCAAGACCCGACACCAACTAATAAGTTCAAAATATTGAAATTCTTGGTGAAACATAGAACTTTTGAAAGCAGGTTTGTGAAAGTTTTATTCATTCCTTGATAACGATATTTGTTTATGAATTCAATTAATTCTTTTTCAGAGATCTTTCACGACAGCACGATGAGAAGTTCCAAGAGATTCTACTTGAGGAGGAAAAATCGAAAGAAATAAATTCATTTGCAACAATTGTAGAAAAAGATTCTTCCTTTCTTTTTTCATTGTTCTGTTTTTCATGACTCTTTTTAGTTAGAAAACTGTTAAATTGAATTGATTTCAAATTTAGTCCATGTCCATCGAAGTGACTCCCGTTTTTTTTTGCATTTTGTTATATCCGATGAACGTTTGTTATATCCGATGGACGTACATCTTGTTGTGTGGTGCCTGAGGCAAAACCAATTCTGACACGACGATGAGCCTTGAAAAATCAACGAGACAATTTTTTCCAGACTCAAACCGATGACCACTTTTTTTCTGAACAGCCTGTATTCACATATCATGAATAAAACAGTATCTAAAAGCCTAAAATCACTGTTTCTCTGTGTACACCAGTTTTTAAAGTTAAACTAGTGCTGAAAATTGTTTTTTTTGTTCACAAACTTCTTTGTGTAAGGGTTTATTTGGCTTACAAAAGCCTACAACTGAACACATTTCTTTTCTGAACGATCTAAACGATGTTTGACAAGTGGTATGAGAAAATGTTCACGGTTTCACATCAGAAACATCTCTGCATATGAAATATCTATACTTTGCTTTAAGCTTTACATTTCCATATTTACGAAATTCTATAACTTGTTACTATGATTTGAATTTTGATGGAAAAGCACACACTTCGATTTCGGTTTGGGACTTTGCCCTTTACACTTGCTCACCTATTTCAGCAACATGTCAATTGCTCTTCTGGTTGTGAATTTTGTTCAAAGATTTACATGAAGGTTGTAGCTTTATAACTTTCTAAATATGACAGTACTAGAACTGTCAAATAATTATCAAATTGAGAAGGATGAGAACTATCAAGTTGAGAAGAGCTTCAAATAAAACATTAACTCTTTAACCCAAGAATTCAGCAATCCATAGCCCTCACTGGATGGGGTTGTGGGTGTGGAAAGACGGCTGGAATGTATTTAGATCAATGTTTGGTAAGGAAAGTTGAGAGAATTTATCTAAAATAACTAAAAACTTTCAGGGAAAAGGTTCTCTTAAGTATCCAAGCGTAGATATGTTCTGTTGTAGAGGTGATCTTTGCAATTCATCAAATCGATTTCACTATAAAGTCTTGTTGATTCACTTTATATTGAACTATTTCTTCGCCTGAATCAGAACTCCTTAAAAATATTCTTAAATCTCACTTTCTTTCTTTTGGTATGACTCTTTTTGACCATTCAAGTCCTTCTTTGCTTTTCCAATCACTGTGAATCATGATCAATAAATCAAGGAAATAAAAATAGACATTCAAACGTCGAAACGAACTATCATTTCACACGTATTTCACTTTTCATTCAATTTCATTGATTTATTCAAACCAAAATGCAGCTCTTAACCATTGTAACGATTTTTTATCTTGGATTATTTCCACTCTCACAAGCAATCGAGTGTTATTCGGATTCTCAAGCCGATGGACAATCACATCCATCAGTAAGTAAAAGCTGCGAAATGGATTTTTATCTCAGCAAGTTTCCGAAAAATTAGAAATTGTGGCAATCGATTTAGTGGCAAATTTATTGGCAATCGATTGCCAAAAGTGGCAATCGATTAGGCAAATGTTTGAACTGATGATATTTCCAATGACAATGATAAGTTTTAGGATCTCCCAAGGATAGTTTCTTGTTCAAATGATTGCTCATACTGTGGGAAACTTCGCATGAAAGTTCAGGTCTGTATTTGAAAAGCTTCGGAAAAGTTTTATCTGTTTTCAAGGCTGTTGATACTTTAAAGTTCAGAGCAAGGAATTCTTTTGTTTTTAGTACAGCACTCGGTATCAATCGCTGTGGGGATGTGGGTGTGGGACGATTTTCCCCGCTGCTCCACAAATATGTTATGTGAGTTTTGGGGAAAAGCAAGAAATTGAAGTGAACAAGTATCAGATCAGTCTACCAGATAAATTCAAAGAAATCTTCTAGAAAAATGGCCGAATCTCTGTCCCAAACGGTGATCTCTTTTGTTGTAGTGGAGATCGATGCAATTCTATGAATCAGCTCAATCATTTTCTCATCTCTTCGATCAGTTTAGCATTCACTCTTTGTTTTCTAAGCAGATTGTAAAGATTGTCTCTTTTTGAAATACAAAAGCTCACAAATATTTATCGTTTTCTTTCCATGTTGTGCTTTGTGCGAAATGAAATGTTTTTTTGAATACTTTGTTCCCTCAAAATGATAAGCACAAAAGAAAATTCGAAAATTTTATTCACTGAAAACTTAATCGATGAAATTCTCTATTTTATTTGCTCTTTTTTCAACAGTTTTTTCTCTGAGATGTTATTTTGATGCAAATTATGAAGGAGATAATCACGTTGGATTTGTAAGAGAAATCAATTCTTCTTTTCATCTTTTCATATCCATTTTATAGGAAACTTCGCAAGTCTGTTCGGCGGGATGTGAATATTGTGTGAAAGTAAATGGAATGGTCGGTTTTTGCGTACTAGAAGGTTTTATTAGCTTTCTAAAAGTACTTCACTTTAAAGATTAAATCGAACTTATGCAATTCACAGTTTGAATCATTTGAAAATCAGAAAAAAATCTTCTAGGATCTCGCAAAGCCGGTGTCTGGTTGGGGTTGTGGATGTGGAGTGGCCTATACGATGAATGTTCTTCCATGCACAGTAAGTCAAGAAAAGCTGTCTTTTTGACAGTCCGAATTTAGGGTACTGGTATCACAAATTTGGCTGCTTATCAAGGAAATCAATATTGCTGTCAAGGAGATCTTTGCAATTTCACCGCTTCCAAATCCCTTTTCCCCGTTTTTCTCATTATTGGATTTTTCGCAGCTTTGATGCAATAGTAAAGCATTTGAGATTTTTGAGTGTCACTCTTTCAGAAGCAAATAAACAGAAATTTAAAAAGGCGTCAAGAAGGAGAATACAGAAGGAGTCAAGAAATCAATTCGAAATCATAAAGTCTCAAAATCTCAAAGCTTTTCATCTTTCAGACACCTAAAAACATCTTTTTCACCTAGAAAGGTTTAAGAAAAATATCAAGATTGAAAAAGATGGACAGCGGTTAGACTATAAGGATTAAGAATCCCTTCTAACTTTGACTGAACTCGCTAACTCCTTTGAACTATTGAATCAGAAACTTTTTGGGATCAAGGACAAAGAAAAGATCTTGAGATTTCAAATCAGCAATCCAACTTTTCAGCAATCCAACCTTTCAAATCAGCAAGCCAACCAGCTTTAACTTTTTTTACAAAGGTTTTTCTCAATGAGAGGGGATCAAAGTAGATTGGAACTTCAATGTGCATGATAACTTTTGATGCGATAGAGCAAAATTAATTGCATGCTTTTATCGTTACATAAAAATGACCAAACGGTTCATATTGACATATTGCTAAAGTCTTTAGAAGACACGGCAGAGAGTTGGAACACGGATCGACTCGGTGAAGCGCTCCTGAAATTGAATTTTGATAAAAAGGAAGCTTATATGTTAAGTTTTATCAAGATTTTGCCAGAATTCGTTTTTGGAAGATCATTTTAAAAAGACTAGTGCTTCAAAATCAAAAATTCTAGATGGAAAGCTTTGAGCTCTTGGTGTTACTTGCCTCGAGGTTGTTGACGAGACGAGAGACCTCATCGTATTGCTCATTCTTGATCATGTTGATCATTTCACGGGTCTTGCGCTCTCCACGTGGCAAGCAGGCCAATTTCACCTGAAAAATCAAAGTAATCATTGTTCTACGAATCTGATAAACCATCTATGTAATTAGGTGAGTTTCCTAGTCTCTGCGGAACACTAACCTTCTTTTGAGTGGTCTCTTGGGGCTCATCGGAGTGGCGGCAAGCTGGTTGGGGCTCGACGGAGAAGCAGGTCTTGCTTGATCGCTCAATGACGATGGTCTTCTCAATTGGCTCTGAAATCAATAAATCTTTTCATTTCTTCATTTTTCTTTACCGTATGTCTCCTCCTCTTCATCCTTGTAGTCGATTTTTTTGTGCATTTTCTTCACCTTCTTGACTCTCTCGAAATCGTCCTCCTCCGAATCGAATTCGGTCGACTAAAACAGTTTTTTTAGCTATAGTCATCGCTAGAAAGCAGCTTTGTCAATATTTTCGTTTTATCTTACCTCCTTGTTCTCCTCAACTCCGTAGTTGGTCTTTTCCTTGAGCTTGTACTCCTCAATCTCGCACTCAGAGTCTTTCTTCAACCAAGAGCGGTGGAAGTCCTCGAGATCCTCTGAAACAAATCGAAATTATCTTTTTACTAGGCTACAATACTTTTGTAACCACTTTATTAATTTATTTGAATCTCTTCACCCACCAGTCTCCTCATTGTCGGCACGGCGGAACTCGTTGTCGCGGTGTCCATCGAAATGTCCGCACATACCGCATTGCTTGTTTTGGGTTCTCTTGTCAGCCTTGATCTCGCACATATATCCGTCGAAACGAACGGCGATCTTGGGAAGAACAACCTCCAAAGTGCGCTCACCTAAAAGATTAAAACCAGATTGCTATTCGTTTTGAGTAAACTCACCGATCAACTCGATTCCGTTCTCAGAAAGAGTCTCCTCATCCTCAACACGGCTTCCATCAATCTTGCACACGAGTTTCTCCTTCTCAATCTCGAACTCAATCTCGATTTCCTTGTTCTCAGCAGTGACAATCTTCAACTTCTTCTCCTCGGAGTTCTTCTTGGTGTTCTTCATCAAAACGGCGTACTCGGGCTCTTGAGAGCAATCCTTAGCGAGCACTTGGTAGCAAGTGGTCATTGGGGCTTTGTATGTGAGATCATCGAAGGTGGTGATCTTGTTGGAGCGGACCTCGCAAGTGGCTTGTTTGGCGATGATGTCATTGACCTTGTTGTAGAACTTGACTGAAGAAGTCTTGGCAATGGATGGGAGAGGGAGACGGATTGGGGAGAGGATCGATGGGATCGAGAGCTTCTCCTCGGAGGTCTCCAAAGTGACGTTGACACGGCGGCATTCTTGGGGATCAACGACCATCTTCACCAAAAGAGATCCCTTGGTGCGACGGATGGACTCAACCTCGGACTCGATGAAGTAACGGGCCTTGATGAGAGAATACAATTGCTCGAAGATCTTCTCGTTCTTCTTGGTCAAATCGTGGTTGACCAAAACGGAGAGCTTGTTGAGACGAGAGGCTTCCTTGAGGGTCTCAAGTTGAGAGATGGATCCCTTCTTGTCATCCTCGTTCTCCAACTTGATGTCACGGATCAACTTTTGCATTTCACGGTCTTGTTCGGCTTGGATCTTCATCTTGATCTCGTTCTTCTCGTGGGCTCCCCAACGGAATGAGACGGTGGCTTGCATCTCACGATGTTTCTGCTCACGGAGTTCGCGGATGGACTTGGGCGACTCGGGGAAGACCAACTCAGCCTAAATTCATTGTTATGAAATGATGGTTTACTTTGGATTTACAAAGGATTATTGTATCAGCTTATCAACGCAGTTACTATTTTTAATATCTATTTTAATAATGCTTCCTACTGAACCGACCTTGCAATCAAGCTCCCATTCGCGGGTCTCCTCAACCCAAAGTGGGGATCGCTTTCCTTGGATTTCAACACGGCAGTACTTTCCGTCTTGCTCGCATTCTCCCATCACCTCAAAATGAGCCTTGAGCTCTTTGGGTCCTCCAACAGTGTATCCCTTGATGACAACACGTCCCTCGATTTCCTTCTTGTTTTCTCCTCCAATCTTCTTCTCGTAGTATCTCTTGGTCTCAGTGTGACGGGAAGATCTCTTTTGCTCGGGTTCCCACTCATTCTTCTCCTCAGAATCCTCCATTCTGAAGTCGACCTCCTCGAATCCTTCGTTGTAGCGGGGGCTTTGCAATCCGTTCTTTTCCGAGGTCCACTTGGGCTCAATCTCGAAGACGATTTCCTTGATGGCCTTCTCGGTTGGGATGAGGTTGAGTTGAACGTGGTTCTCTCCGTAGAGGATAGCCTCCAACTTGTCTTCAGTGTTGAACATATGACGGTGAACGGATCCGAAGACTTCAGCCTTGATTCCGGTGAGTTTCTGGCCGAACTCGTGCTCGTAGTGGACGGCGTTTCTCTCCAAACGGGCAAGTGAGATGGTCTTCTCTTGGACCATTGGGGCTCCACGGTGAGAGAACGAGCGGACAAAGTTGACGGGACGAGTCTCGAAGATCATCACACGCTTCTCGCTGGTTGGTGGGCGGACGATAGCCTTCAATTGTTGGCGTTCCCAATCGTACTCGAGGCTCGAGTCAATGGGAAGAGTGGCTTGGATTGAGTGGAAGACACGAGCTCCGGTTGTCAACAAAGGAGTCAACAATTGCATCTCGGTTACATGGGTGGAGGCGATGGATGGCTCCATTTGGAGACGAAGGGTTGGGCGGGCAGAGGAGATTTCCATCTTCATTTGTCCCTCAACAACGGCAAGAGTTGGCATCTTTTGAGTGATCAACAATGGGACTCCGATAGAGGTGGGGAAGACACGGGTGCGCTCGTAGAGGAACGAAGCGACGGCAACGTTGAAGCGTTGTCCCTTGGCAAAGTCACGGATAAGCTCTGAGAGAGATGAGGCTCCAGTTGAGCGGGTGTACTTCGAGATGATCGACTCATCAATTGGAAGAACGGCATAGTCGAGGTTCTTGTAGCGGATGTAGAGCATTCCGAAGGGTTCTCCACGAGACTCCGAACGGCGGACGGCGATCTTCATTTGGTTGACAAGTCCCTTGAGGCTCTCAGAGATGGCTTCTTTCTTCTCAGATCTCAATCCACGGACGACAGACTCAGTCTCGACCTTCTCGAGCTTGTTGAGAAGAGGCATGAGGATCGAGTCGAGGTTTTGTTGAGAGAATCCGACTTGGGCCAAGTGCTTGCTCCATTGTCCAGAGAAAAGAGAATCGAAGGATGAGAGCAACTCACGGGGAAGGACCGATTCGTTGGTGAGCACCGAAGCGAAGTCGATGGTCAATCCGAGGTCGAGGGCTTTGGAGAAAGTCGAGGCGTGGAAGTGGCGAGACTCGAGGGAAGGACGGAAGCGAAGAGAACGGAGCACAACAGTCACATCCTGGAAATTGATTGTTGAACTTGAATTGTAATTCTTTCATCTAATTCGCTAAATCATCTTAGAAGCTTATATGTTAGTTCTTACGTTGGAAAGTTGCTTCTCGCATGGGTTGACAGACTCCTCGAAGGAACGGAGAAGAGAATAGCAGAATGAACGGAGTTGGTGGCTCGATTCACGGTTGAGGGTGTCAACAATTTGCTCCAAGACGGGAAGAGTTGGCTTCGATTGGATAATTTGGTAGACAGCCGACATTCTGAGGGAAAGTGGTTGGTGGCGAGATTTGAAGATTGGGAGGAGAAGGGATTGAACCTTGCGGGGCATCTCTTCACGGATCTGTAAAGATGCTTGATTTATGAGATTAAGCTAAACAAACCATTCGGAGAGCATCGACAGCGGTGGAGCGAAGAATGGTCTCCTCGGATTTTGAGTAGATGATGTCCTCAAGGAAATGCACACAAACATCCATTCCAGAGTTGGCAAGAGACTTCAAAACGAGGACCTTGTCGTACTTGTCGGATGACTCGGTGTAGAGGGACTTGAAAGTGGAAAGCCACGACATCTTTTGCTCACGAGTGCACTTCTTTGATCCATCGATCTCAACAGCCCATCGTTCTTGGTTCTTTCCGCACATCACATTCATCAAAGCTCCAGCGGTGAGCATGGCTGATTGGCGGAGAGCTGGCTCTTCGCGAGAGGTCTTTGACTTGGAGAGACGAAGGACAAGGTCGACGATCTTCTCAGATGAGACACGGGCATTCACAAGGGATTTAAGGGTGAGGGCAGCCTTGAGAGGAGAGATTTGCTTCTTCTCAATCTTCTCCATCAAGTGCTCGACGGTAACCTGAAATTGGCGATATTATTTTGTTAAAAATCTCTATCTTAGCTTAAATTTAGTTTAGTAGGAAAGAGATTTTTAGTCAGTATTCACCATTTGTTATAACTTTTACCTTGGTTCCAGCAATAGCGAGGGCATCAGCGATGATCTCGTTGATTTTCTTTTGTTGCTCCTTGGTGTATTTGCTGTTCTCGCACACGGTACGGTGGATGTCCATCATCTCTTCCTAAAATTTAGTTGATAGTGATCAATAGATTTTCGGGTAACCATTCTCGTTTAACTAAATTGATATTGATTGCTTGCTAAATTGATTGCAATTGACACCAATCGCAGTTTAACAAAATTCACTTACGCGGTTGCACATGCGGAGAACGATGACGATGCGGGCCATTTGGTGGGTGGACTCAAGCTTGACTCCATCCTTGTCAGACTCATCGATCGATTCGATCATTTGTTGAACGGCCTTCTCGACGATTTCCTTCTTTGGCATGAACTCGAATCCGGCGCTCTTCCAGCTCTCCTCATCTCCGTTCATCCAGAATTGTTCACGGGCAAGCTCCTTCTCGTAGTTGTACATGATCGTCGATTTCTTGTTTGACCATTGGGCCTCCTCCGAACGCTCAGTCTCAACAATCTGTAAATATTTGCTTTAATGAGATTGTTTGAATAGATTATGATTTAGTTTGTATCAAAAACAATCAAGGAATAAAGAAAACAATCAAAAATCTAACCTTGATGAGGCGCATGATGACGTGTTGATAGGTGGCAAGCATTTGTTGCTGAGTGGAGAATGGAGTGAAGAGGTATTCAGACTTGAGGTTGATCTCCTTGATGAGGAAAGACTTGTCATCTCCCATCACCTTGTAGTTGACAACGACTTGAGATTCGGGACGGGCATCCTCCTCGAGGCAAGTCTCGCACTCTGAAAAAGGATGAATCATAAAAGCAAGCAAATATTCATAACCTTTTTCTATTATACTTCTAGTGTTAACTTCTAGTGTTCTTTTCATATGACTTACCAGAGTTGAAACGGAATCCGTAGCGGATATCGACACGCTTGGAGCACTTGTTGAAGTTGAGGGATTTGGTGATCTCCTTCTCGTCCTTCTTCTCTCCATCAACAATCGTGTAGGCAACCTCGCATTCACCCTCGAGAACACGCTAAAGATAAAAAATTGATTACCAAAGCTTATTACTAAATAGAATTTTGACAGGTGAACTCTAGATACTTTTTAAGCTTGACAAAAGAGCAATCATTTTAAATCTTTAACCTATAGAAACTTATCAATGATAATCCTCAACACAAACCTCAGCTTGAGTGAAGTACTTGTTGTTCTCATCAATTTCCTTTTCACCAACAGTCGAGAACTCTTGGGCTTGGGGAGTCTTGGGTGAGAGTTGCATTTGCAACATCGAGAGGACCGATCTCTTCATGTTCTCAGACCAGGCATTGTCACGCTCGGTGAAGTGAACCTGGAAAACAAAGGATTAGTTCAAAAAAGTTATGAACCGATATTTCAACTCACATCAGTGATGATTCCTTGGTGATAACGGAAACGGACGGGAAGACGGAGAATGGCGATTTGCTCGTCGGTGAGTTGTTGCTGCTCAAGCGAGGTCAACTGAAAATTTGGGAATAAGAGCTGAGAGTTTTGAAAGCTTTAGATTGATGCTAAAGTTTCCTTCAACCTATACCTTCTCAAAAGTGCGAGGCTCCTCCATTTTGCGTTGTCCATAGGTGAGTTTGATGTCATCTCCGCGCATCGTCCTGAAAAGGATTCATCTTGAAAATGATCTTCAAGTTGTTATTGGATAGAGATATTGATGATTCTTACCAGTATTTGTCTCCAACGGTCACGTAGACCTTTCCGGAAGCTTGTTGGATTGAGTGAGATGAGGATCCCTTGGCAGCAACGCCAGAGACTGCCTAGAAAAAAAGCAACTTCAAGATTGAAATAGATTTCAAATTTTTTGACTTTATGACTAGCTTATAACTGAAAGACTTAGAAAAGACTTATAAAATAAAGACTTATAAGACTTATAAAGAAATTTCAAACCTGTCCATCATAGGAGAAGATGTAGGTGTTACCCTTGACGAATGATCGCTCAGATCCTTGATAGATTGGGGAAGATTCCCATGAGGCGAGCGCGGCCGCAACAAGGCCGAACGCTACCAACAATTTCATTCCGACAGAGGGATTGGACTGTTGAATAGACCTGACTGTGAAGATCCCGGATCCTCAACTGGGTATTTATGCAGTAACTGTTATCAGATTGACTTCTTTTCTCTTTTCCTACTTTTTTCCGATCCCTGTGAATGAAATCTTCTCACGGTGAGTGACAGCTCGTTCCAAATTGGGTGATCATCACATTCAAGTCAGGAAATGGGTTCATTTTTGAGATAACGCAAAGAGTGACAGTTTCAGTTTTTCAAACCTCTCGATTTCTCAGCTCACAAAATTTTGGGTAGAAGTTTGATCAATTGAAGGTATGCTATTATTGACTTTAAAAAAGCTTTTTCTTTTAGTCAATCTACTCACAATCACCTATTTTGTCAAAAAATTGACAAAATTTCTTTTTTGTTTCAAATTTCAACTCTAGTTTTCAGTTGATGGTTAAGGATTTAAAATTTCAACTCCCAAAATGAATAAGTTAGTCTAATGAAGCTGAAGATCAGCATTTTAAAGCCAGACTAAAGGTAACGGCTTACAGTTAGTCATCTATAGTTAGCTCATGTTCAATTAGGCTTCAGAAACTCATATTTGTTGGATTGAAGCAGCATTTGTCAAGACATTGAAATAATGCCGATCTTGATCATCACATTGGAATCATGAAACCGATAATGCTTTATCATTTGAAGCGAGTTTGATTTTGAAATAGAAATTGACTTGATACTTGCTTGTCGTTATATGAGCCTTAAAAACCCAACTCGTACTTCAAATTTTTGCAGAATTTCCCAATTTTGTTCTTTTCTCAATTTTTCTTTGAGGGTCAGCATGGCTAAGTGATCGTGTGATAAGAAAAAGAAAAAAATGGGAAAAGCGATGAAATGGTCATTTTATTGTGGGTTATTCAATGGTTTTCTTGACTGACAGTTCTCATATCTTGGGAAAAGATGGGCTGAAACTTGAAGAATTCAAAGTCTGAAATGGCGAAATGACCAAAATGGAAGAATCGATGGGACAAAATCGTATTGGGTGCAAAATAACAAATACAATTTGAAACTCTTTGAGAAATCAGTTCTACTCAAACAAACAAAAATAAACAAACAATTCAAACAAATTAAACAACAAACAATTCAGTTCTATTCAAAGTTTGCCCTGAAAAGCTTTACTCTAGGCTTACTGTGTTATGCTTGCTGATTAGCTTGCTTCATTTGGATATTTCTCTTTATTTCAAGCATCCCTGTCACTTTTTAGTTCACAAATAAAATCATGCAAACCTGCTTTTCTTCCTTATCCAAAAAAAAGAGTGAAAAGTGATCATAAATGAATGTCAATGTCATTCGCAACAATGATAAGCAGATTTCTGTATGTATTTCTTATTTTCCTAGTTTTGAATCCAATCAAATCACAAATTCAATGGAATCTCCCATCACAAATCCAATTAAACAATCAACCGCAACGCCAATCGAATTCGATTGATTGGTTTACAGTGTGTGGTGGGAGGACGTGTATTGGTTGGTTCAGGGGTTAAAAATGATATCTTTAGCGTTGTGTAATTGTTGTTTTCTGGTCTTGCTTGTCAAGTATTGTCACTTTCGGAAGTTGTAGCTCGTTGTCATTTTGTTCTTGTTGTCATTTTATCTAACATAATATTATTGATGTTTACCAGAAACTGAAAATGATTCATTGGGATGAGTTTAGACGATAAAATGGTCCGTTCTGTGCAAACCGATCCTTATTGGAGAGGAGATCAACGCTGGTTTATGGGGTGATTTGTATTTTCAAACATTAAAATGAAATGTTTAGACGGATTCTCTTCTGATCGGATGAAAAAAACAATTGAAACTTTAACTTTTCAATCTTTTTCATTCATCATTCAGTAAATATACGTTGGCATTCGCATGAAATTGCTTGAATTTATGGCAAGAAAAGAACTGGTTCAGATTTGGGTGCAAAAAAAGAAAAGGAAAAGGAAAAGAGATCGTAAATGTGACTAAATCGAAGACCCTAAAAGAAAAAAGAATAGGGAAAGTTTTGAAAAGGAAAAATATAGCTTTTAGGTATGGAATGGAGACAAAATGTCGTTTAGAGTGAAAAAGAAAGCAAAGGGTTAAACGGAGGCAATTATTCCTTTTTTTGGTTGGAAATCTCAACGAGAACTTCATCGAAAAATACTGTGTTTTATAGAAGACTTGTCAGAAAACAAACAGTGCTTTACTTCTGGAGTTTGAACTTTACGACCAATTGTGTCTTCTCATTCTTCTTTGGCTTGGCTTTCTTTGACTTTGGTTCTTTAGCTATTCTTGAAACACAAACCCATTTCACTTTAGTTCAATCCCGTAAATTTCATCCCATTACACCCATTCAGCAAAAAGTTGAGAAAACGAAAGTGCGAACATCAATTGAAGAAGAGATTTGTCTATGTTTAGATGAAAATGAGAAGATTCTTTTCATTGGATCGAATTCTTCTACTCTCAATCATCATCCAGATAGTTCTTTGTTCAGATTTTGAATATGCACGAATCATTGGTAAGCATTGAAGCATGAAAGCATGACTAAGCGTGAAAATCTTTCATCATGAAGTCATTATCAAAAAAACAGCTGTCTGTAGCCAAATAAAGCAATTCATTTAACTGTTTGCTGATAAGTGCTGTCTCCAATCAATCCCTAGTCGATTCTTACAGGAAATCCAAGGCTGAAATGTGGAGAGAACTCATTGCTACTTCAAATAGAAACATCGGTGGCTTTTCAAGGAAGAATTTATGTTGTGGATAAGGTTTGAACTTTGATGAGTGATGAACATCTCTTCATCTTTTCAGCCAGAATTCCCCTCTTGTTCATCAAATTTTCTTTCAAATCTCTCTCCAAACGGCACAATTCTATTGAATTTCGAGAGATGTTTCGAAGAGACAAAGCACAAGGTTTTCAATCTGTTTTTATTCAGAAACTTTTGTTTTTGTTATTTTTGTTCTTTGTCAAATTTTTGTTTAGAATGGATCTCGAATATTTGATGCATTTGTGGCTGTGAGTTTTCATCCAGTAAGTAACACTCAAAAATGAATCCTTTTCCCAATTCAGATAGTGATGACCACAGCCGATCGAATATTTTCTGTGAAATGCATCGATGAAAGAAATATAGGAAGCATCCAAGAGAAGCCAAAGTCTGTTTTCTAAACATTTCATTGATCTATTGATTTGAAGTGTTACTTGTTCTCATATCATTCGCCAAGCCTCTCAATGGGATCTTTTCTCTCCACAATTTCATCTCGGTGATTCGATTGTTCATGATTGGAGTTGCACATTTCCACCAAAGGGTAATAGTTGGTTTCTTTCAAAAGTAGACAGAACAAGAAGAAGGACAATTCCTTCTTTCTTTCAGAAGAAGGCCAATTCCTGGGTATTCTCACCTTTTGCAATGCCGTTTCTCAATCAGGCAAAATAATTCATCTCATTGATGAAAATGGGTATCTCTTTTCTATTCGACCTTTTACCATTTATTTACAGCTGTATCATTGACTTGGAACTTCTCGGCGATCTCTCCTACAGTAACTATCAAGTAAAAATCTATGGAAGAGCAAAAATATTTCGCTTTATAGCCGGTTAGTTGGACAAGACTTCATGTTCATTTATTCAGTGTTTATGTATCAAGAATTTATGTATTTAATAGGTGAAAAGATGCGCTTTGAATGTAAATTACAAATGTGCCGACGAGGAATTGGAGGATGTAATCAAAGTCTTCTTGTAAGTGATTGAGGGGGCCAAGAATCGAATGGACAAATTTAGCCCCCAAAGTGCTCATTCACTAAAGAAGAGCTCTTGAAACGTCATGAATTGAGAAAAGCTCGTCTGTCTAGCTCAAAAGATGACTTTAGAACAAGTAAGAAAAAGCTTTCATCACTCCGATCTCTCCATTGTAAATCTGTACTCAAAACTTCAGAACTTATGACGGAAACGGTCCACTTCGAACGAGAGGTCGATGTGATGAGTGAATGGATTACTGTACATCATAATGAATACACGAATGTGGAGAAATTGCGAGAAAGTGAGATTTTTAATGGGCTTAGGATTTCATTTAGAATTTCAGGATACATATTGACAGCCGCGGTCAATCATTCTCTCATCGAAATTCGAATGCCTTCAACCCAAAGACCCTTTTTGATGGATATATCGTTCAGGTAAATGATTTTTTTTGTCTTAAAAGTTCAAGTAATCGAATCTTTTCAGAGATGTACACAATAAAACACTTTGGACGACTTCTCCTCCAAATATTCAATCATTCCAAGTCGGCTCTCAACCCGTGAAACGAGTACCGGAACTCATGAAAATCGTTTGTTAAACTGTACTTGACACTTGACGCGATTTCTTTTCAGGAAAATTTCAATTTTGAAAGCATTGATGAGATGCATCCTGATTTCAATCAATTCCAATCATCAGACAAGTAATTTGACTATGCAAGTGCTTGTTTCTAATTGTACTTTAGTGTTCCATCGACACAGAACCATCCTGGCCGACTTTCTCCAGTTTCATCAACACCTTTACTCACACCTTTGCAGTAAAAAGCTAATTAGTCTTACAGTTGAGAATTTCAGAAGAGCTGTCACTGTCTTTTCCACTACTCCAACTTCCACAACAAAAAGCATAACTTTCTCAAATAGGAGAACCATTTTAACGAAGCAAAATGAGAAATGTAAGAAGAGATTGTTATTGCAAAGAAGGTTGATTGCAGGGGACTCAAATGGAGATTTTGAATTAGTTTTGGAACCACTGAGATGGAACGATCCCTCTTCACAATCCCCTTCAACACCTCTTCCATTCGATTTCATTCCAAAAGTGACAACAACAAGAAGACCTCCATTCAAAGTTGTATACAGACCAAATCAATCAGTGGTTCAATTTTGATTGTAAAAATAACACTTCATTTTAGCAGAGTAGCGATAATGATCTGGAATTGATGAATATTAACACTGAAGAGTCACCATTTGAAGAGATGAGTAGTGAAGAAATGGGAAGAGCTCCGCCACCAATTGATAACGATGTACAGGGTAAGGAAAGATTAAGAACAAGATCAACAAGATCTAACAAATCTTTTAGAACAATTTGAGAATCATCGAGAACAATGGAGACTTGATGATTCGAAAGGAGTTGAGGGAAATGATACAAATGATCCACTACGATCAATTGGAGCTCAATGTGCAAATCGGACTGTTGTTAGTTGTTGTTGTTGTCGTTTTGAGTTGTTAAAAGAGTTTGGAATCTTTTCAAATATTTTCAGAATACTTCGAAATCTAAATGGACATCAATGAATGATATTCTTTTGGCATGGTCATTTGGATCTCTTGTTGTGTGGGTGGTGTTGGCTGTCGTCTTCTTCTACAGACATAGCAACCAGAAAACGGATTGGGTCAGGTGCGAAATGATTGAAAATTTCATTTTTTAGTTTAATCTTATTCTTTAGAAGACGTCAAGTGATCTCTCAAGCTTGTATCATTCATCCCGAACATCCATGGACACATAGAGATGCATTTGTAGAGGACAAGAAAGAAGCCAAAGAAAGAAATTGATCTAAGATTATAAAGATCTCATTTCTGTATAAATCTTGTTTCTATACTCACTTTTGTTGGAAAAAGAAAAAGAAAAAGAAAAAGGGAAGAAGAAAAGGAAAAGAAGAAATCCTCGAGAAAGGGAACAGTTTAATAGCGCTTGGGGGAAGAAAAGCGGAAGAGAAAGACTGAAAAGAGGAAAAGAAAGGGAAGATCCAGGTCTCAAAGAGTAGTCCAAACTTTAGCTCACTAGAAGATTTGTGTCTACAAAGATTTTTGCATTTAGAAGTTCAAGCTATTTCATTTTTGATCCCAGGGTCCTAGAGTTACTGGGCGACTTTCAAATTTTTTGTGGAAAGCATAAAAGCTTTATATAATCTATTGTTTGTATAATTAAAAAGCTCTATTATTGCTCTACAAAATGACTTTTGAGAGATTCTGAAAAGCTTTTGTTTTGTGGATTTTATGGGCTCTTTAGCGAAACCAGTCAAAATGGCAAGGAGCTCGATTCTTCTTTTGACTCGTTTCTTACACATAAACTGAACTTGATGTCACAACAAAAAAGTTAGAGCGCATTTAATTACATAAGTAGCCAAATTTTTGTAGTGATCTCGTCAGTCATTTTCTCTAAATGACGATTTATAAATTTTCTGAAAAAAACGATCTTTTATTGAATTGGGGGGCTTTTTGAGTTCTATATCGAATCTGATTTTGTAGAGAAATAAGTGACCTTTCTAACGATACTACTCGCGTGTCATTTGATAAAGGCTACTCAATGTTATAGAAGTTTGAAAGTCGTCGCTTTCATACTCTCCAACTTAATATTCCTCCAGAGCAAACCTCCAGAGCTGAAGGCAAACCCAGTATTTGTTTAGCTTCTGGCTTTCTAAAAACAATGGTATACTGAATCACAAACAGCCATCAATCATTTAAGGATTTTTTAATCTTTAATCTTAAATCTTTATCATGAATATCCATGATTTTTAGCTATTCGAAATCCTAAAATTTAGATCTATTGCTGTCTAGTCTGACGTCCTCAGTAACTCGAAATAAAAACATTCAAAGACACTTGAGTTTTGCAACTTTTCTGTTCTATCAAAGACTATCAAAGGGACAAGTTGTCCCCTCAATGAAATCTCTCGTTTATCCCCCATCATCTCCTTTCATCTCCTTTCATTCATCTTCATTTTCATCTCCATCCACCCCCTCTTCCCCACTTCTCCTATTTACCTGTCGTCTGGTGTATCAACAAAAAAATTTCGTGAAAGAACCCCTGGAAAAAAAAAGAGAAAAGAAATTGATTCGGTAAGATGAAATTCTGGAAATTTTTCGGATAAATTTAGCGTCTGACAGTTTACTCATTCTTTTATTGAAAAGAAAGATTGGGAAATGAAATTGATCGAAGACGTCATTCGATTTCATCTCAAAGATCTTTCTATTAATTGTTCGCTGCTCAAGCGAAAGCTCAAGCGAAAGCTCAAGCGAAAGCTCAAGCGAAAGCTCAAGCGAAAGCTCAAGCGAAAGCTCAAGCGAAAGCTCAAGCGAAAGCTCAAGCGAAAGCTCAAGCGAAAGCTCAAGCGAAAGCTCAAGCGAAAGCTCAAGCGAAAGCTCAAGCGAAAGCTCAAGCGAAAGCTCAAGCTTCTATCTACTTACACGACTTTCAACTGTTCAAATCTACAAACTATGCAAAACACGAAGTCTAAACCTTCTGTAACCTTAAATCTTAAACCAGAAGCTAAACATTGTTTAACCTTTCTCTTTTCTTCCTCAAATCTACCTTTCCAACTCGCGTTCTTTCCTCGATTCTCCCTTCCAAATGAGCGTCAGTTGTTATTTGAGAGACTTTAGATCGGTTGTTCCCCATCTTTTTCTTTCTTTCAATTGGATCTCTCAATTTTTTCCCTCACCAATCCTTAGAGACCCATTCAATTTATTTGACCTTTGACATTTTACATTTGACTCTTCGTTGTTTTAGGCTCAATACACAAAATAGATTCACAAGTATTTTCTTTTCTTGTTTGTAACCGAATCTTCTTAAAGTTGTCCTAATGAAAAGATCCTAATGAATGAATGATCGATTCCAATTTTTCAGGGTAATGTCTTGGGCGATCCCTCGGATTTCCCTCCTCGTTTTGGCCTTTTTGGCCCTTCGATCCTATGCGGGATTCTCAAAAACAGAAGAATTGGAATGTATGTTTCTTGGCTATCCCGATCTCGAATACGATGGATTTGATAGGACTGAGGTTTGTAGAAAAACGGATTAATAAAGAAAAGAAATTGAAAAAAAGGGGAAATCTTACGTTTTCTGACCAACTTTTACAAAACGGCAGGTAAAAAATGGATTGGATACGGTATGCGTACTCGATCTCTTTCATCTCTTTCATACTACACTTTCCTTGTTATTTTTTCGTTGATCTTTTGTCTTAAATAACAATTGAATTCGATCCCAAACAGGAAAATTTGAGGATTTCAAGAAAAAGTGGTTAAATTTAGGTGTTGACAGAGAAGAACTTCAACAAAACCGTTTTTGCTGAAGACGCGAAATCGGTGATTTTCTTCAACGATGTCGAGGATGACGATCCCGAATTGGATCAATATGAATGCTTCTTGCAGGTAGAAATAAAAAAAATGATACTAAGTGAAGGGCTTAAGAGAATATGCGTCAAATTACAAGTAGCTCGGATTAGGGGAGAAAAGCTCGTCCCAAAGTTCTTTTCTGTTCAGTCCAAACTATTCAGAAAGTTTATCCTAGCTTTAAACAGCTTATTCATTCATTTCTAATCTTAAATTTCAGGTATTTTTATCAAAAATTGTCATAACTATAATATTTTACATAGCTAGTCCCTCCACAACTACAGTCATTCCATTTTTAACCGAATAGCCTCAAAAATCCCTTTTGCAGGTTTTTCCATTAAAAAGAAAAATATTCTGAACAAATTTCCCGGAAATTTCTAATTTTTGAGGTTTCGGATTAGTGGGTTACTTGTCAATTATATAGAGAAAAGCTTTTTTCTGACTCACAACATTTTTTTTTGAGGAAATTGAAGAGATTGATCAAAAGATCAAAAGAAGAGATTACTGTAAATGATGGAAATACTTTGTTTATTCAATATATAATAGAATATTCAGCTTTCCGCCCAAATCATGACGAAACGAGGGTACAATTTTTACACCGTTAACACCACAAAAGAGCAGAAATTGAGGAAACAAGAGGGTTTGTTGAAATGGAAAATTCGAGGAATTGAAGGCTGAAATTTTGATTGGATAGATTGCATTTTGGAAATAATATTGTACAGAACAAGTGTGTATCTAGATTCTTTAGAATTCCTCTAAACTTTTCTAAATTTTCATTTCCAAGTTTTGCAGAGAGAGAGTTGACAATTAGTAGGCTTAGATTAACTAGATTTAACTAGCGTAAATACTGTAATAGTACCCCACCCGGGTGGGGTACTATTACAGTATTTACGGTAGTTAAATCTAGTTAATCTAAGTGGGGTACTATTACAGTATGTACGAGGGCGGTGCACCCCCTCGTACAGTCGGCGGTGCACCCCCACTAAAATGTCTTTTAGTATTTCATTTTTTTCAAAGCACCCGCACTTTCAAAAAATGCGTCTTTGGTATCAAAAAATAGCTGAAATTCAGGGCTATTTTTTGATACCTAAGCGCGCATTGTAGCATGAACCAGTGTCGAGAAAAACTCGTTCAAAGCTAGACTACGCAACACTCCGCACCGTCATTATGGGGGTGGGGTACTATCACAGTATTTACGATAGGTTTAACTACCAGTTTCCTGGTGTACTGTAATATTACACTATACTTAGTGTACAATAATTTGACTTTATTACCACTACAAGGAGTTTTCCTAGATCTTAATGTAAGAAAAGAACTATTGATTTTGATCTTACACACATTGTTCTCTGAATCTCGCAAAAGAGCTAACTTTTAGGATTATTCTTTTCTATTCTTTTCTATTTTTTATCAATTCGAATTCAGAACATCTGAATGAACTTTCCGTTGTTCCCCTTTTTGCCACCAGCTTATTCAATCAATAATCGGGTCGAGAAAAGTGAAAAGTGTAATCCAGGAAATACCCGCTTTTTCTTTTCTTTCTCAATAACGATTACTTTTGATTTTTTTTTCGACCTTTCTTCCAATGGGTCTCAGCTTTCATCGAGAAATCGGAAAAATAGAATAGAAAAGAGAAATCCGTGGTGATCATTGAGGGGATCTCATGCTCCTCTCTTCCCCTCTCTTCCCCTCTCTTCTTTTCCTTTCTTTTCTCCCACTTCTTTACACCGCCATTTATTTTTCTTTTGTGAGAAAGGGATTGTTTTCTTTCTTTCTCTTTACTTCTTCGTCCTCCTAGAGTCTTTTTTTTCTAGAGTCTCTCTTTATCCCCTATCGGTCCACCTCCATGAAACCCTCATGAGTTCCCTTATGACCCATTCCCTTAAACCAATCTTTTCCAAAATATCAAGCAAAAAATAAACTTTAGAAGTAGAAAAGGGTGAGGATACAATCCACGTGTACAAAGATGGATACAAGATTGAGTACAATGGTGTCAGAGATCCTGAGACATTTGTCTCATGGCTTATGGATGTAAGGAAAGATTGAAACGATTGAATAGCCAAACAAATTTAGATCCCAGACGATCCGGTGACAATCATCAATGATGAACACGATTTGGATGAATTCGAGGAGTTGGAGGATGATTGTGTCAGAATTGTTGGATATTTTGAGCCCGGATCTGCTGGTTTAAATTGAAATCGTTCATTTTCATGATTTCTCTTTAGCTTTGAAAGAATTTGAGGAAGCAGCCGAGGATTTCATGGGAGAAATCGAATTCTATGCCGTTGTCAACTCATATGTGAGTAAAAATAAAGTTGAAATATATTGAAAGTACAATAGTGGGCCCGGAAAGTGGGATTGAAGCGAGTGGGTGAAGTGCAGATGTGGAGACCATTCGAGGAGAGCCCGCTCTTTGCTCCATCATCTGTTGATACGGAAGAAGAGTTTGAAGTGAGAAATCGAGAAATTTCAAACCAAACAATCATAAAATAGGATTGGGTTGAGAAGCACAAAGAGCCGGTGATGATGAAGTTGCAATTGGACAACTACTTCAATGTTTGGGTGGGGTTTGATTAGACAATTTTCATTACTGAAAGCTTGTCTATTAAAATCGTGGAACGTTATTGTGCAATATTATTTTAAAAATCTTCAGAGAGATCCAGAAGATGAAGAGAAAATGGTTCTCGCATTCGTTGATGAGGAGACAAGAGAAGGAAGAGCGATGAAGAAATTGTTGGACAAATTAGCTGATGAGAATTCGGAACATGCAGGAACCTTGGAAATCATTCTTGTGGATCCTGGTGAGTTTAAAAAGAAAGCTGTAATCAATCTTGAACAGATGAGTTCCCATTGATGGTTGATGTTTGGGAAGAGATGTTCGGTATCGATATTGAGGAAGGACCACAGATTGGATTGGTTGACATCTCTGAGGTCAGCATTTATCAAAGAGATTTAGCTGATTCGGTGATCTAGTGGATAGTCTGCTAGACTACCGAACTCTTACGTTTTTCTCCCAAGTTCGAGTCCCATTATCGCCAAAAAAACTGTAAAAGAAGTGTAAAAGAACTGTTTAAAAACTTTCCTTACATAAGGGACCGTGTGACGTGTTCTTAAGAAGCCTGAATGTCAAATTATGTCAAATTTTTATCAAATTTAGACATCAGAATGTGTTCCTCATAAGTAAAGCGTTTTCTAAAAGGCATCTATTTGAAAAAAACTACCGTACTTTTACATTCAATCAGCTGGTATCATTGACGGTCTTGTGATTCGTCATCGAATGATACCAAAATGGGGTTGGTTGAATGTAAACTGACGGTTTGACTACGGTAGTTTCCTCAAATAGGGACATTTTAGAAAACGCTTTACTCGTGACAGTACTAGAAAGTACTTGAAGTGACAGTACTAGACATGACTACACTAGACGGTCCCTATAGTTATTTTAAGCCTCAAAGCACACCAAGATCCCTGTCAATGTTCACTATCACCTTTTATTTTCCAAGAGCTACAAACAGAAAGTTTATTTGTACATGAACTATGAGTAATTGACCTTTATGATTTAGAAAAAGGAGAGTTTGGTCGTTTGGTCTTACCACCTGTAGTTTTGTTGAATAGTTGATTTCGATTCAAAGAGGTATCAAAACAGAACACATAAGCGATAACCTTTACTGAGAAAATCATGATATGTTTCCAAAACGAAGACAGATTCTTTTAAACGGTGAATCGAGTATGAACAAATTCCACCAGTAACCCAAATTATTGAGTAGTTGAAGTAGCTAACAAGTACATCGCTAATAAGCTCAAGACTTTTAGAAAGAGGGAATTTGGTTCGATATGTCTCAAGTGAACTTGGATGATCCGAAGAAACATTCCGATTCGAATTTCGAAGTTTTGCAGACATGGATCGATCAGATTATGAGTGGGCAGATCTCTTTGGATGGTGAGTGAAAGGAATGGATGAATGGATGCAATTTAATAAATGAGATGATTAGAAAACTGGTTAAAAGGATTGTAGTTACTAGTTACTAGTACAGTTACTAGTACAAAATTCTTTTTCTATTGGTCACTTTTGTTGAAAATTAATTAAAACAGATTGTACTTACATTTTTGGTGAAATGTAGAGAACAAAAAAACAAAAAAACATTTTGATCTCAAAGAAAAGAAGTAAATGATTCTACAAATGGACAAAAAGTTTGATGGGGATCATTTTGCAGAATGAAACAATGAAACAAAAGAACAAAAGTTTGAGAAAAGATTATTGAGATGGTTTTTAATATATTTAAGTTCTGATGGCCCCCACCACCAGAGCTTAAATAGTGGCCCCCGCCACCAGAATTTAAATAGATTAACAAAATTGTTATTAAAGTTGAGATTGTTTTGAAATCTGTACTGTACTTAGGAACTTTAAATGAAATTCTCAATTTTCAGACGATGACGCCGATGACGAGCCCCCACCACCTCCTCCACCTTCAAAAGGAAAGAAATCCAAGAAAGAATTGTAGATCCAGAACTCACTGACAAATATAGTATTTGAAATTGAAAACTACAGTACATTTAGTATAAAAACAATAGTTTATTATTCAATCTTGCTCGACATTCTTTTTTATCTCCTTCTCTTTCCTTTTCTTCTCTTTACAGTATCTTTTTATATCAATTTCTTTCATTTCTAATCCTCATTTCTATTGAAAACTCGTGTCATTTTTGTTTTCTACTTAAATAAGAAAACATTTAGATTGAATTTTCTTCTAAAACCTTTTTTCCATTTTATTTTTCATACGAGTCTTTGTTTTTTTGATCAGACTTTTTAAAAGAATTCATTAAAATTTTATAAAATTTGCTCTAAGTACAGTTTCGCATTTCGCATTTCGCTAAAGAGGTTTATAATTAAACTTTTCAAAAGTGAATGTCATAAGGCAAATCAAGACTTTGGCACAAAGGAATTTAGTGTAATTTTTGAGTCATACCCATCAAGATTTCAAAAAAAAGGTTAAAAAGGTGACAATGAACGTCTGGCTATTTCAAACCGGATCTTTCTCTTGTTGATTGAGTATTTGATGATCTATCTATTTGATGAACCACTATTTTTTTAAAATATTATATCCTAGTCTCTTATTGAAAGTTGTCAAGCATAATATCTTCATTTTTTATAGAGATCCATTGATCATTTCTCTCAATTAGATATTCAGCTCATCTATCAATGAGAAGAACCGATCTTCAAGTATTTAATTCAGGTCAAAGATTTCATTATCAGTTTCTAGTTCTTGAAAGAAATTGAATGAGTTATGGTTTACTCTAAATAAAAAGTGTCTCTTGTTCAATTTCCGATCTTCTTAAGTCAATCTTTAGGCTCACTTTCAAGCGAATTCAAGAGTGAAAACGTCTTGAAAACGTCTTAAATCTTTTATCAGGTTTATCTTGACCTGACAACTTGTAATGTTTCAAATTCAATGTTACCTTCCAAATGTTAAAAGTTATCATTGTAAACGGACTTTCGTTCCTTTTAATGGACTTTCATTGAAAAATAACAAATTCATTAATTAACCTATAGTTTGCTCTAAATAAAAAGTGTTTATTGTTCAATTTCCGATCTTTTTAAGTCAATCTTTAGGTTCACTTTCAAGCAAATTCAAGAGTGAAAACGTGTCTTTCGTAAAAACCTATAAAAACCTCTACGAAGAAATTGGCTGAATGAATTTCTCTAAAAATTCGGCTATATACCTAACTTTTTGTGCTCTATCATTTATCTACTGACATCAAGATAGGTTCCCTTAGCTAAAGTGTTTAAGCCGCATCATCAAACTGCCCTTTTTGACTACTTGACTTCATATTCCCAAAAAATGCAGACTTAAGACATTTGAAACCCGTTTTAATGTTATTTTGCAGAAAAATAATTGGCCTTTCTAATAAAGCAAACCATAGGTTAATTGGTGCATTTGTTGGTTTTAATTGAAAGTATGAAAAGGAACGGAAAGACTTTCTGGACCGCCTAATATAACTCTATACGTCATAGCTCTTTAGTTTTACCTATAGTGTTCCCTATTGAGTTGGATAAAAGCTAACCCCGGAATTATGGTGTGTATTATTGTTAGATAAGGCTAAAGTATGTCTTGTTTAACTTTAAATCTACTCTCAAGTCCAAGTGTTTAATGTAATCGGTTTGAATTGAGATTCCTATGTAGATCAGACTAAAGTGGATCAAATTAATGATCAAGTATTTGCCACCATGGCGAAGTGCCTTAGTCGGGAGGTCAAGGGTTCAATCCCGCCAGCTAGATTATTGGTTCCTTTTTTCATATATATTGAATTGAATATGTATATGTATACCCATGTCGACGATGTGGGTGGTCGCTGCACTTCTTTTCCCTTTTCCATTCCAAAACATTCCCCTTTCACTTCTCGAAATTCCATAGAGCTCTTCATTTTTTGATTATTGCGTTCTTTCTAGGAATTCTCATTTCAAATGTGCCCACGCAATATGACGTTATTCTGTAAAGCTGTTTGCCTACAGGTTTTCCACTTTTATTGGTTCAAAACAGTAAACTAGTTTCCATTTCTAGTTTTCAAAGGTTCAAGCAGGCCAAACTAGCTCAAACAACTCTAAATCTGACGAATCCTCCAAAATCTAATCGTCCACATTCTCGCTAACCAAAAATATTTGATGCATTCTTCTTGCCAAGAATAATTGAGTTGATATCCGATATCTTAGCCAAGAAAAAGAAAGAAATCCCTTGTCAAAAAATAGCTTTTGAAAGTTGGACTCCTTCGTCGTTTATATATTTATCCAGATAATGTTTTTTTCTGATGAAAATACGATCAACGTGGACATCCATTTTGGGGAAACTTAAGAAGGCCGGAAGAAACGTCGAATGGAGGCGGGATGGGAAAGGGGAAAGAGCGGAAGAGGAGGGAAACAAAGCGGAAGAGAAGGGAAAGGGGAGTCGAGGGGAAACTGATCAGGAAAGGGAAGGGGATCCCCATTGAAGCTGGGGAATTCAAAGAATGATCACTGTTCGAGAGGTGATTCAATTGAGAGATCAACTCTTGAATTCTATTCTATGTATAGCACCTTTTCCCGATTGATAGTTGATTTTGATAGTTTTGGGATGTAGTGACTTGATTACAAAGAACAAAATGTATTTTGATTTAAGCTAGTTTTGTTAGTCATGTCTAACACAGTTAGTTCAATTTTGAATGGCCATTCATTCCGGTCAAAAACAAAAAAATCAGTTTTAATCATTTTCTAATTCGGCGAACGTCTGAAACAGCTGTAAACTCGGTCAAAAATAAATGTACGAAAGTGGGGAAAAGAAGGAGTAAATCTGTAAAAACTCTAGTAGTTTTGACAATGAAACGCCTATAGTTTGATTAAACGATCGTACCTTCTTGCCAACTCAATAATTAGAATTAATCCTTAAATGCCCTCAGATCAATCAACAATCACTTTTCACCCTTTCATTTTTAACTTATCATTTTGAATGCCGGTTCACTATCACGCCTGAAGATCAGTGAATGAAAGAAGAAAAGGAAAGTAGGGAACACTTCCCCTTTCTTTTGCCCTTCTTACGTTTTCCTCGAATTGGACTTAGACCTCTGAAGGACTAAGACCTCATTTTATCAAATCAGCTCATTTCAGTTTTTCATTTCAGCTTTATTCACTTCTTTAAATGTTAAAAGTTTTCGATTCACCTTCACGATTATGAAATGAAACTTTTTAGAATTAATTCGAAAGGACAAAGCATCAAAGGTTATATGAAAAGCTGAATAGGAAAAAGAGAAGATGAATTCTTTAAAAGGTCTTCTCTTTTGATGTTCTTTTTTAAGGTTCTTCGTGCAAGTCAAGGAGAAATAATTGAGTTTTGGACTGATTCTTTTTGAATTCTGAAAGTTTGGACTCAACATCATCACAAATCAGATAAGAAAAGAACAAAATTGGACATCTTTGTTTAACAAAAAAAGCTGAAATTGTGTTTCATTGTATTTTTTGGATAATAACCCCTGTCTTTCTTTTCTTTTCTTTTCACATTCAAACGTTTCTACCCTTTTTTTCAAAGTCAATCTCAAATTGTCGTGTTATTCATCCCTTTCTTTCCATTTCTTTCCCTTTCTTTCTCTTTCTTTCCCTTTCTTTCCCTTCCTTTCCCTATGTACACTCACTTCGATCTCATCTCAATTATTCCAAACCAAATGACCAATCCTTTTCTTTTCTCTTTTCAATCCTTTTCTGTAACCCAATCTCTTCTTTCAAAATTACCACTTGTTTTCAAAATGATCTCATTTTCAGTCATTCCAAAAAATAGAAATAGAAATTTGGAAATGATGACTATTGCATATTTTCTATAGAAATTTTTATCGAGTCATGTCATTCGACGCAGAAAAATGTGTTGATTCTGAAAATTGATGTTTTTTCTAAAATTCATGCAATAGATTCTGAAGAACATTTAAAAAGAAATTTTCCACAGGAGTTTTCCTTTCCTTTTCAACACAACAACCTTCGCAAAAGTTACTAGCGGCCTTGCGAATTGCTAAAATACAAGCGTTTTGAACCGCTTTGAAAAAAGCTCCTGTGTAGTTTTTCTTATGTAGGTTTAAGTTTCTCTAAAATGTCAATTTCTCAGAATCTATTGCATGAATTTTAGACAAAAAAACATCGATTTTCTGAATGATCACATTTTTCTGAGTCGAATGATAAATCTCGATAAAAATTCTTATACAGGGTGCGCCAAAAGTTCCCCGTACTTGTATTTTCTGCATTTTTGGTAATTTTAGATAAAAGATAAGATTTTAAAAGTAAGAAATGTACCTCCTTTTAGATCAAAGATTTCCAACCCCCCCCCACAAATTTCCACCAAAGGAAATAACTTAACTGTACCCCCCCCCTCCCCCCCTTAACTGTGCGACCAAACCCCGACCCCTCAACCTGTCTTAAATAGTGTTGCACTTATGAATTAACCAGAAACGTTTTCTAAATCAGTTTTTCGTGAGGAATTAGAATTTCTTACTTTTAAAATCTTATCTTTTATCTAAAATTACCAAAAATGCAGAAAATACAAGTACGGGGAACTTTTGGCGCACCTTGTAGTAAAGTCTGGATTGGTTTTCAATTCTTCAATCGAAGCCAGAAGTTCAGTTGTTTCATCTGTATAGCTTAGTCTAGCTTACTGTAATGCTGCAATGCTTACTGACTTGTTTACCGGTCAATGTTAGTGTAAGTTAGAAAAGAATTACTGTAGGAAATAGCCACAAATGCATAGTTGATAATGGAGACTCTCTAGTTAGCACCAAACTGAGATAAGCAAGTCTAACTTGTAGTACAGGGTGCTTCACAATTACCGCCTCAAAGTAAGTTTCGTTGTATTCATTTGTAACCTTATTTCAAGCGGATGTGTCTTGTTCATTTATATCGATCATTTATAAACAATCACTTTTCCGTTATCATCTTTGTGATTAGCAAAAAACCCAAATTACAGAGATCAAGATTTTCGTTTTTGAACTTAATTGT